TCTCATATATGACTGACTCAAAGCAGTAAGCTAAGAAATGGCCATTTCCAATTCGTGCCTTGCCACACTTGAAATGTTGGCGCTCAATAAGTTTTGAGCTTCTTTAACAAGTTGTTCAGCGAGGCTTGGCGTATTGTACTTCTTGAAAAGGTCTAATGAAAGCTTCACATTGCGAGCAAATATGATGACATTCTTTTCAAGTTTGTACATGTCTTTGAAATCTGTTAAGATTGCAAGTTCTTTGGCTACCACCGACAATTGAGTCTCATTGAGCGTGGCCGCATTCAAGGCAATTAATAAGCTCTGAAAATTCTCGTTGAAGGAGAAACATGTCTTCCAGGTCAATTCGTGTCCGCTTACCTTGAAACCTCTCATCAATTCCAGAGCGAAAGCAAAGAGATCATCGTCAAATGCACGTGAGGGGCACGCCTCGACGACACTGCGAATGTATGAGGTATACCATTCCTCAACTGCTGACAGAGAATCAACATTCACGATGTCGGAATCTTCCAAGTAATCGTCTGTCAAGATCTGGCGCATGATATCGATGTAAGATTCCACGAGTTCTCTGTTTTCAGGAAATTGGTTGATGAATTTGCTCACGCTCAAAATGACACGCAGCTGATATGATTTATTCCGCCGCTTTTGTTCCAACTTTATTGTCTGTACCACGAGGTCCATGAGAGCACTGTTCTCACGCAAATAGTCCGCGTTTTTGACAGAGATCATGACAAGTGCCTCTAGCACCAATTCTTTGCCCTCCCAGGATTTGCCTTTGCATGCTTCTAGAACCATGGTGAAAAGAGGTCCAACCTCTTTGGGCAGGAGAGTTTCAATGGATTGACAAACATCAACGATAGTTCTGGCCATTGTTTGTCTGACGTTGTAGTCATTTGAACGAATATTCACGTCACAGATTGCAAAGATTTCATGAAAGTAGAGCTTGATGGCATTATTTCCACTGGAATACTCCACCCATTCTTTGTCAAACGCAGTGCTGACCCCAGTATCTCCGTCGTGTCTGCCGACAAATGCCAAGGGCAAGAAGGCCGAGGCAACAAGATCAAATTTGTCCGCACTGCTGTATCTACTGACAGCCTCAGAAGCAATTGCCGCGAGTTTGCGGGTTTTGGAGTCTTCGTCTTCAAGGTACATAGACTCGATCTTCTTGCTGTAATTCACAATAGCTTCAACACTAGAAACTTTACAGCAATGGCCGGCCGCCGCAGCGTATGACTGGGATACGGTGGCGTTTCTGTCTTTGAGCTGGCTTTCGCATAGGGCCAACATGGCGTCTCCAAAAGGACGTGCAATGGCGCTGTGCGCCGAGACGAGGTTGACAATAACACGGCTACCGCAAACCTTAGAGGGGAGTCCGATGGACTTTTTCACCGATACTTTGAGCTGTCTGACAATCTCAGGCATCATTGGCTCGTCGATTTGGTTCATGAGCTTCTCAATGGCATCCATCATTGGCGAGTGGCCAAGGCTCTGGAGACGCTTCGCATCAACATCGTTGCTATCGAGGTTGTACTTGTCCGCATTTAAAACTAGGTAGTTGATGACCTCAGGCTCCAAGGTGGACATGAGCTCGATGAAGTTGGACAAAAGAGCCGGAACGTGTTGCCTGATAGCCTTGCCACCGATGTCGCAGAGTTTCAAGATAGTCTCCAAGGCAAATGATCTGACGTCCTCGACGTCACTAAGTAGCCCCTTGCTGCCCATGAACATTGGTATGAGATGATCTAACACCTCAGCAGCTTTTGATGCAGAGACTTTGCCCGTGCTCAAGTCTGCAGATCTGATCAAGATTCTTGCGAGGGTCTTGGATAAATTCAGCCCCTCTTTTCTAACACTCTCCTTGATGTCATCCATAGCACGGAAACTCATGTTCCACACTTCCTCGAGTTTCATTTCGTATTTCTCCATGGGCTGAGTTTGCAAGAGATTGTTCAAGGCAACAGCGCTTGCTTGACGCACTCTCCACTCCTTGCTACCCATTCCCTTCAAAATCTCTCGCAAGATAGGGTCAAAATACTCACCAACAACTTTGGAAGTATCGCCGACCAATGACGTCCATATTTCGTTCATCGACTGAGACACCCCTTGGTTTGGATCAAACTTGTACCGGTACAACTTTGGAATCAAGCGCTGACTCAAGTGGGGGTTTTCTGCAAGCATTTGATCAAGACTTGACTTAGACAAGATCGACCCAAGACCAAAGGCCATTCCTCTTCTGGAGGACCAAAGAGCGTTTGACTTCGCCAAAGACATGAACTTATAGACCAAACTTGGGTCTCCCACATCTGAGGCCAATGTAAGCACATCTTTGTAGGTGGAAACAGAACTATCGTGTGTTTTCAATACGTCTTTATCAAAGAGCTGCGTGTCAAGATCAACGCTTCCGGAAGACAACGCGCTCGAAGCATTGGCGTCGGTGAAAGACCTTAACAAACCCTTCACAAGAGTCTCCTTCAAGTCGGCATCACCCATGTCATATACAAGGCTGAGTCCGCGAGCAGCAGCCTCTTGTACCATTTCATCTCTGTCGACCAAAAACCTCATGAATGCGGAATGGATCTCCGTTGCCTTTCCCCTGATGAGAGAATCGCTTGGCAAATACTGCACGATTGCTAGAAGCCAGACACAGCCTGATTTTCTCAAAGCGGGCTTACTTTGTGTGGTAGCCTGGAGAACATGGTTTAAGATGGGCTCGAGGCGGCCCGTAGATACCGGCACATACTCAACAGTCTGGCCCTGGATATCAAGGTTTTGTCGAAGAAGCTTGGACAGCCAGCCTCCAGCTAGAATCAGAAGCGCATCGCCACATGTGAAGATAAACTCGATCTGTTTTGAAGTGTGAGCGTCAAAAATTCTCTGCTCGATTGGCAACAACTGGCTGCTGTCGGGGTCATAAGTTGAGGGCATTGCCAAAGCGAGTTTGCTCAAGGCAAGCACAGAGCTCTCATGGAATGACTTGAGCTTCAGCTCAATTATGCACATGAATTGTTCCAAGTGGGTGGCTACCTGACCACCCAAAGACAAGCGGGGACCTAAAACACCGAAAATGGCAAGCTGGGACAACCCTTCAATGCAAGTATCATAGAGCCGCATGTCCCCAAGCGACTCGTGAACTACTTTAAAAAAGTGCTCAATGATACCAACGTCGATTTCTTCGAGTCTTTGTCGAAGGGCAAGTTTGGCAAGGACATGGGCCGCGACCGAGATGAACCTCTCCTTGTCATTCGAAGTCGACAAGTTCTTCGCGAAAGCCCTCATGATGTCATGGGCGACGCTGATTTCGTTGCTTTCGTGAGTCACGATTATACTCAACGCCTTGGAGGCGTCTCTCAAATCGCCAGGGAGCAACACCCGATCGTGGAGACTTTGAACCTGGCGCAGGATTGTTGAAGCGAAGGCTCCAATAACGGACGATGGAGAGAGAGAAACAAGAAGAGCAAAAACCGAGCCATGCGCCGGCTCAGCGGCACCAACAAAACCTTCGAAAACGAGGGTCAAAAAGACGTGGAATGGCGAGGGGTGGACGTCGTCATGCGCGTGCATGGAGACATCCGCCCGGGCGGCGGTGTCGATCTCAGCGATCACCAACAGACGCACATCCTCGTCCATCTCGAGTGCCTTGTCGAGCCTGCGGGCCCAATCCTCGTCGATCACAACGACGGTAGTTTTGCCTTTGATGGCTTGCATGACCAATACGCTAAGCGTGAACTTGATGGCGCTCCTCCCGTACTTTGCTGCCTCGACAGGGTCAGCCAAGGCACCAGCAAGCACCGCCACCATGTCCGAGAAGCTTGGGAACGCCACCTCAGAATGGAGGCCCAAATAGTCTCGAGACGATATGAAGTCGGCGGTGTTGGAGGACCGGAGCAAGTTGAAGTGGTACGGATGGAGGCCCCGCTCGGCCTCTTCGCGAGTCTCCAAGTTATTTTCCTTCACAGTTCCGAAAATGCACAAGAGCCTGGCCTCGGCGTCTTCGAACGGAAACGTGCAGTTCACGTGCTTGATGGCAAGATACTTGCACGAATTGAAGTTGCCGTCGTGCCGTGAAGACTGCAAGAAGCCTTTCAAGAAGACCCTCAACTCGCGTTTGCACAGATCCGAGAGGCCCGGGAGATGTATGCTGAGCGCCGAGAGAACGCCCTGGAGACAAGGTACCAAGTCTGCAGACTCGCCCTCCAAAGACGCGTAGAGAAACCTCAAGTACGTCAAATCGTCGCGCCAAAGCGCGGGCGAATTGCGCAAGACATCGCCCAACGCCTCGTACTGCAACTCCCTCAGTCCGACGGCAGCACGGAAGTTGGTGATGCGCGACCGGTCCATCTGGGGCCAGCCCTCCGAGATGACAGCCTCCTTCAATCGCGAGGCGACCAGCACGTTGAAGTCGTGGCTGATTCCGGCACTGGCGGCACGCGCCGAGGAGGCGGACGTGACTCTGCGCACAAACGCCACGGCGGTCTGGCGCAACCTGCCGTATTCGGACAGAAGGCCGGTGTCGGAGACCTGGCGGATTTCGGGGTGCGCCACCGCCACGCTGCTTTTGCAGAGCACGGCCAAAATGCGCTCCTGAAGCGTTGGCTTGGCGGGCGGCACTTTGTCATTGCCCAAGAACAAGTCCACAAGCTGGCCCACAAACTGCTCGGACTCTAGGTCCACGTCTAGTTTCTTGAACCGCGCGTGGGCGGGTTCTGCAAGGGCAGTCAACGGGTCGGTGGACGCGACCAAAAGCGGCAACGCCAACGCACGGTCCGAGAACCCTGTCTTGAGGAATTCCAAGAGCACGTGTTTGGTTTTGGTGATGTCGTCGTACGTCTTGTATGCCACCCCAGCATCCGTGGTAAAGAACGCCGAGTCCTCCAAGCCTAGCCCCGGCGACTGCGCCGGGAGCGGGTTGGGGTTGGGCTGAAGCATGAAGAACTTGCCGGCTTTCAGCGCGACGTAGAGCTCGTCGGGATCCGCCGCCCCGAAACCCAAGCGGCCACGCATGTTTTCGGCTTCTGCAGACCCGTTTTGCGGCGCCTTCCAGCCCTCGAGCAACTTCACGAGGACACTGAAAAGCCTGGCAGGCACAGCGCCCAGTCCGGAGCTGATGCCGCGGATCACCTGCGGCACAAGCGCCGCCCGTTCTGGAGGCGTGAGCCGCTCGATTCCTTTCGACAAGAATAGAAGCGAATAGAGCCGCACGGAGCTCGGGTCTGCGCCCGGGGGCAAGCTGGGCGTCTTGGCTTGCTGGAGCAACGCAGAAACGGGCAATTGCAACGATCTGGCGGCGGTGATCCGTGGAAACACGTTTTGAATTGTGCGGAACACGGCCTGGCGGACGGCGGCTTCACTGCTGGCGAGTTTCAAAAGCAACGGCGGCAAAAACAGGGCGAGTGCCTGTTCCAATTGGGCGTCGGATTCGGCAAGCGCCAAGCGCAAGTCGACTTTTTCCACCAAGTCCAATTCACTGGAGGCCATGCTAGATCTTCTGGGGGCGAGGTCACAGCTTCTGGAACACGGTTTATATACGCGGCTTCAAAATGAGCGTTTACAGAGACAAAAGACGCGATACTCACGGAGAACAAGGGGCGGATTGCAGAGCTTATGGAACGGCGGGTTCTGTGATGTCCAGATCACAGACTAGTGGTGAAGGCGAGTCTCCGGGGCTGGTCCCGTGACTTGCACGTGTGCGCACCGGCCCAAGGTATTGGAGCAGTATACAGCTATGGCTTTTTCGGCGTATCTGCGAACGGGCTTGAGGACAGCCCGTGGTTGTCTGTTTTACAGGAGCAGTAGTACGTTTGGGGTTTTTTCTCTCTTGTGTGTCTTGTGGATGTGTCTTGTGGATGTGTCTTGTGGATGTGTCTTGTGGATGTGTCCTGACGTCTCGAGGTGCTTTTGACCCATTGCGGCAATTGGCCTGGTGAGTTCATGTGCCTCCGTATGGAAGAGGAAGGATCATGAGAGCCACGAAATTAAAAATGCAAATCGTGGCGCTTATATGAGATTTGGCATTTCAGACACCAGGGCAAAAAAGCATGCGTTGAAATGGACCACCTCACGTATTGGCTGGTCCAGTTTGAAATGGGTGCAAAAACTGGGCATGCGAATGGTCGCACCGTCTACTCACCACCGGGAGTTAACAGCCCAGAATGAACATGGATTCAAAGTACATAAAAAGCGTTCTTTTTCTAACGATCATCTCGGAGATTGGCAATCTGGTGCTGTTTCAGCCAATGGTGCGTACAGAATAATGGCTGGTTCTCACTTCAAGTGTACCATATACCATGGTGGCCCCAGAAAAAGGAGAGATTTTGGAGATTTCGTTGTATGAGCACGTCTGTGAAAACAAAGGTGTTGGACTTGAATTTTTCTGGGGTGCCTGGAATACGAATGCTCTTGCACCACTTGTTCGCTTTATATCAAAAATAACCATCCACAACCCGGGTCCCAGGTACTACATTGCGCTAGCCTGACCAGTATCGCATGCATTGCTATTTGGAAGGAGAAAAAGCGGAAGTGCCTCAGTTTACATGATACGACCAATGAAAAACACAGACACGTGCAAGTGAACAGTTGTGTGCTGGCTAGGCGTGAGAAGCAGTCTTCGCTCTTGGTACCGAGGTCGACATTTACCTTCTTGGTGAATGAAGACGATTTTGCTCGAGCATCTTTCTGAATGCTATATCAATCTCAGTTGAGCATGGCTATTCTGCTCTGTAAACGCTCCCGTTCGGGAACCCACAAAAGAGACGCTGAAGCTGTGTATATACAGATTACCAGTTCGGGCGAGATTTCGTTGGATTTAGTTTGATTGAATGGTCGTCGTCTCTGAACTGGATGAAAGATTCAAAGGCTCAGGGCGGAACTCCTGGCCAATGCCTGAGCGCATGTGCGATGCTATTGGTATTTCGTGGCACATAGGACATCGGTATCTCAATACAGATTACATGGCAAGAACCCCTATCTTCAGGTGTTAGCACCGTGGATCAATCGAGAGAACCTTAGATATGCGGCTGCAATCTAAACTGCCTAGCTGCCGTATCTCGTATTATCAAAATTAACAGTTGGACATCCAAAACAGGAAAAGCAGAGCCGTGCCTTTCGGCGAGACGGCATTGATAGCCCCGCAGCACGGTCTTTTAGCAATGTTGATCAATTCAATTCCAGGCGTCAGTAAACTCCCGAGCGGTTTTGATTACCGATTCTGGATATATGACAACTCCACCTATTTCGGGGCGCCTGTGGTGTGTGGCCGTGCAAGTTTAAGCGAAGAGGCCTAATGCAGTAACCACGTCCGCCATGAAATTCGTATTGGGGCGCACCCTGATTTAGCGCTGCATGAGTTTTCCAGCAGAAACGTGGTTCCAGTCACAGAAAAAAGAAGGAAGCATAGAGAAAACAAAAAAACATAAAGAAAAGAAAGTACGATGGCCCGGGAGATATATGGGTGAGTATCGGTGATTCGGTTAGCAAAAGACCCAAGCGCATCAAAGCCGACTATACTTTATTCGCCGAATCTCAATTTGTTCGTGAAATAAAACGGCTAAAGTTGCATTGCAGCACTAGCTATGACCTATCTCACTCCACATAACTATTGGTTAAAATTGTCTAAATATTCCGGCGTTCCGTGGAGATGTGCGTAGGATGCACACTCATGCACGAGGATATCTAGAGCTTATTTGCGAGTCTGCCCTAAACGTTGATTTTTGGAGGCTTTAAGCCCCGGTGGCCGGCGTTTGGCGCGGCCAATCAAGAGAAAGAACAACACAAAAAAAAATCTCGTGATGCATGTTGTGACATCTCTTGCCGGGCCAACCGGCTCATATTTCGGGTCCCAATCCCAGTCTCTTCCCGGGAAGGGAGTGGCATTCCAGAAGAGGCTGTCGAACCAGAAGCTGCATAGCTAGCGCCACATTCCACTTCTAAGCTTCGCCAATAGCAACCACGAGGGCTTTCAAAGCCAATAAAAAGACGAAGTCCGGCAACGGCTAAACACGTATGGCCGGCTTGTTCGTTCTGCGCGAGTCTGTGCAGGACGACAGGTTCAGCCGAGGTGGGGCGCACGTGACTAGACTTGGTCGCCCACGGACGCCTGTTTGCTTTGTGCGCCAGAAACAGACATAGCCCTACCACGAAATCCGAAACGCCTGTCCAGGTGTGGATTCGTAGCTGGTGGACCGCCCCGAGCAGGGGCCTGGAGCTGCATCCTAAACGCTGGCTTGCGCCCGAGACTAAATATGATATCCTGCACACGGACGGCCAAAACGCGTAGACCGTGCATATACCACCGGGCGCGTTGCCCGGTGGATGCAAAAAACCCGACCCAGATACGGGCTAAAGACTGAAGCAAACAAAACGTAAACACGTGAAACACACCTACTCCACCGAACCCGGAGCCCAAATCCGCCTATATAAACAGCTCCATCCCCGCCACCTCTCTCTTTTTC